AAATAAATAAAAATGTGATACCACAATCCTCTTCTGACGTCATGACGCAGTAATCAGTGCTACAGCCAGTTTTACTTCTTCCAACCTCTTTGGAAATCAATCGACTAGGCTCCATATAAAATATCGATTGAAGTGTTTGAAAAAAAACAGATGATAAAACCAGAGACAGTTTTAGTGTGATAGAAGGATTTACAGTTTATGTCGCTAACGTGAAGAATTTATAATTTTACCTAGACATAACAATTGTCTGGGCCCATCGCAGGATTGTATTATCTGTTCTGGACTTACGACTCTTTTAAGTATTTGTTAATTTGACAAGCATAATTTTATTTTCCTATTTTTTCTTTATAAAACTTCATCTTTTTTTTTTCTCTTTTCGTCGTGTGATTAATTTTTTTTGCAGCTAAATTTCCTCATTTCTGTATAACATTATTTTTCTTTTGTATTTTTGTTCAAATTACTCGTAGCTGTTGTATTGTTTAAAAAAAAATTTAGTTGTATATAGTGTACTTATTGAGTGAACCTACCAGAATCCCTTTAAAATGTAACCAAATATAAATAAGAAAAATAGTCAGGACATTCAGTCATTCATCAGTAATCTGTCTAATTTCGATACTTCAAAACTCGAATAGGTTTTCATCCTACCCATTTAAATCGTTAATTTCTTACGAAGAGAGTTGTTTGTTCCATTTTTCGTTAAAAAAATTACCAACAATTTGAATTTATTTATTTAACATGTTTACTATATTTGTATGTTCTAATTTTTTTTTGTTTTATTTCACATTTTTGTTACGTTATTTTTTAAAAATCGTATTTAAGAATTGTAAACTACGTTAAAAACAAATCTGAAATTTTTTATGACAATCTACTTAGCCTATTTTAACGGAAGCGTATTTTGGTTTTCTATTTTTTTAGATTCATTCATTCGTTTTGCTTCCCGATGTCCTTTAAATTTATCTATATGACATACTTTAACGAAAATAAGCTGAAAAAAAAAGTTACGAAGGATAGTAAAATTAGATTCCGAATAACTCAAAAAGTATACATACATAGTATATATTGTGGTTATGAAAAAACCTTACGGAATTTTCTTTAAAAAAAAAACGTTAAAATCGGACAGTTAGGAGCAAAGATATGGTCTCTAGATGTTTTGTATATGTTATATTGCAAAGGTTATGTCCTTTGTTTTGGTTTTTGATTTTTTAATGTGTTACTAAAGTAATGCTAATTGTGTTATGAAGGTACTAATGATTAGTAGCAAATGTTTACTCCAGTAATTAGAATCACATTTTATTTCTTTTTATTTGTCACCAAGAAGGTAATTTTACTTTTGATGTATAATTGTTTGGAAATAATAAACCATTGCGATATAATTTGCAGCGTTTTAACTATGGATAGGAAATATTTAATCGAATTTTTGATAAATTTGTGATGGAGGTTATTGAGATACTTTAAGATAAAGTCTTGAATTGATGAGGACCCAGAAGAAGATAAACCATGTTTTTCTCCAAGCCCCTCTTCAACGCCCACCCACCAGCTTCACATCCTCCTAAGTTAGTTTTTCTTCTTCGAGAGTGATAAGAATGAGGCCCAGTCTGTTTGTTCTGGTTTTGGTTGTTTAACGTTTTATTTAATCGTTTATCCCTTCACGAGTCTAAATAAAAATATATTTCTAATGTGAATCGATAAATTGAACTATTCCGAGAGATGCTTTATTTATGAAAAGTGGCTTTTTGACAGCGCTAAATTATCTATATACAGTCCAAAAAAAAAAAGACTCACAAAAATTACAATCTTTCTATTCCAAATTTTACATTTAACAACAGCAGCTCCCTGGTAAGTAAACAACAAAACTTTGCATACCGACTTAGGACAACTAACTACACGGTTCTCTTTATTCACGATTTCATATTAACTACAAGGTTACAACAACAGACTAATAAACGAACGTGGCCACCGTTGACATGCCCATCAGAGAAGGTGATTGAAGAGAAGCTGGATGAGAGATCTGCGTTCCTAATTAACTGAAGCAATCAAAGACCAGGAACAGGTTCCTCTGGATGCTATCCTTCCTCATGCCATTAGGGTCTATATTTTTATCAAATCTACTGATTGTCACACTCATGAACGGTGCAGATGAAGATATGGGGAGAAAAAAAATTGTCTAAGAAGCTGGAAGATGGATCTCCTCCACTAACTACAAATATAAAAATGAACGACGCGGCTGGGCACTCCTCTCCTTCACACATATTCCAAGATCTGTTCCAATCTACATCTCGACATCACGCTCGCTGGTTGTCGGTACTTCTAACAGGGGTGGTTAGAAAAATAAATTTAATAACAAACTTTTTTTAAAAGGAGCTGGATGAAACATCTTACCTAAATCAAGGAAATAAATAATAACCAGGAAGAGGTGCTTCTGGATATTATCCTTTCTCATGCCTATAATGCCAACCCTTATCACCACAAACAATCCGCTGATTGTCGATACCATGACAGGTGCGGATAAATACTCGTAATCAAAGAGAAAAAAAAAATAGATCAGATTAGAATCAAACTGTCCTTATTTAATTTATCTATATTGTTCCATTTACACCTGCTAAGTTTCGACCGTTACGACATCTTCAGGCACATCTAAAAATACTATAAAAATTAAAATGAATGGTAATCAAAAGCTCGCTTTGTTATTTTCTATAAAGGTCTAAGTCAATTACACATCAACGTGTTACTGTTTTAGTTCTTAATTTATTATTGTACACTTATTGCATCTGTATGAATACACTACATATAGTTAACAATTAAATATATAAGGTTTTATAATCTGCTAATTGTCACAATCGTGACAGGTGTGGATAAACACCTGAGGAGAAAAGAAAAACATTTTCGAAGTCCTTGTAAATTTGAATAGTAATAATATTTCAAAATTTAATAAGTGTAAATCGTACACAATTTAAAACCAAAAAAAAAAAATTCGAAGGATTGAAAGAGACTTCTATAGGGAGAGGACATTGAGAAAAGGTTGAATACAATGGGGAAGGAATAGGCCAATAAAGTCTCCTTTTTTTGGCTACTTTATCGTCTTCTCTTTTCTAAACCCTTATAGCTTCATATCGATTTAACCTATCTTCCAATCACTTAAATCATTCCTCATTTCATACATGTAAAATATTCATTACAAAAAAGAAATGCGTTGAAAGGAATATAGACAGTTTTGATAACTTTATTTCCAGATTTAATATTAAACTACACGGACACAACTACCTCATTATATTCGACATGGCCATGGTTGATATGCCTATCAAGAGGTGACTGAAAAGGAGCTGAATGAGAGATCTCTTTTCCAGACTTGAAGAGAGAAAAAATATTCAATTAACAATTCTTATTAAAATTTATATATATATATTTATATATATATATATATATATATATATATATATATATATATATATATATATATATATATTCATTATCAAAATATTCACTATAAATTTTAAAATTAAATATAATCAGATAAAGTATTAGTTGTTAATAAATTATAAATGTTATAAATCTGCACTGGCGAAGGAAGGCATAAAGCGATACCCTACCAGCACAACAGGAATGTGATAAGGGCTAATCTAACCTGGAATAACAATTATTAAAGGGAAATAAGTCCCTCCTGTTAGTACAAAAGGTCTTATGTAAATATTTTTCATTTTTATTCTATTTGTGCTGAAGGTGACATTATATTAATAAATTATAAAGAAATAATTAGTTTTTATTCTCCTGTAAAACATTCAATTTTAACATATATCCTTTTGCACTAACATTAGAAAAATATTCGTCTTATATCTATAAGTCAGCTTTTATTCAAACATTTTTCGTTTACTTGATGATAAATATTGAAAATACATTGAACTTACATTCCTGCTTTCATAATTCTGCTAGTAAATTACCACCAGAGAATAAGTCGAACGGCAGCAATATTCAAACATTAATTAACTCGCTATTGATCATAAATATATTAAATGCAAATTACGTACGTTATGTACTAAAACTACAAACAACATAAATATGTTCATTATATAATAATAGACAGATTAACAATGAACTTGGGCAATTGAGGAAAAACGTTCTTCACTTATCAATAGATGAGATTATTTATTTCACCGTAACAATGCTAGGCTCCCATTTGTAAAACAAATATTGCTCAAATTGAAGTGCTTTGGATGGTAAATTATTCCTCAACCATAATATTCTCCTGACTTAGCGCCTAAGAATTATCATCTATTTTTCAGTCTCGAAAACTCATTAAATTTTAGGGACATGAATTCAATCGATGAAGCGAAAAACGAGGAGTTGACTTTCTTAAATTCAAAACCAAATACTTTTTTCAGGTAATGTGTACACATTTGCTTTTAAAATAGCAAACTATTTTATTCTATTTTATTCCTGTCCATCACAGCATATAGCAGACAACTCCTTGTAACCTCATTTATATTTCCCCACTTCGATTACGCCTGCTTGGTGTATGCCAGGCTAGAAATGAGATTAAAGATACTCATGGACTGTTTGATAAGATACATTTTAGGAATCCCTAAGCGTTCCTACTTATACACCGAGTTGAAGTGACGTTATCTTACTTCCTAACGACTATTCCTCATTGATGTTTCCCTTCTTTAAGTCCTCAGAACCAAAAATCCTCCCTACGTCCTGGAACTCCTTACTCTACGTTCCTCTACCCACTCTATCAGGTCTCAACTTATAGCTTTATATATCCCCCCTCATAAAACTACTTCCTTCGGCAAATCCTTCGTCACTCCTTTTGGAACTCTCTGCCTAACTCCATACGTCAGTCCTCTTCCACAAATTCCTCCCAATTACTCCTGTTCCTCTACCTACTCCATATTCTGTAAACATGTAAAATTTACTTGTGTCCGTACACTGTTTAATTTAATCAACTTTACAATAAAATTATTTTTTCATTCATTCATTCATTTCATTCATCATTCATTTCGCAGCGTGCCAGCAGGTGAGTGAGGGAGTACAGGCTGTGTTCGGGCCTTCGCACCCGGTCCTCGGAGGCCACGTCCACAGCATCTGCGACGCCCTGGACCTCCCCCACATCGAGGCGAGGGTGGACCCCCAGGAAGGCCACCGGGAGCTCTCCATCAACCTCCACCCCTCCCAGCCCCTCCTCAACTCGGCCTACAGCGACGTTATGGCCTACCTCAACTGGACCAAAGTGGCCATCATATACGAAGAGGAGTACGGTACGTGTTTTATAGAAATATTTATAATTCACTTAAGATTACTCTCATTATCATTTTAATCAGTTTCACTGTTAATTTCATGAAATATTGATTAACCAGTTTTTTTAACCAGCTGCTACGTATTGAACATACGAAGTAAGGTTTTAAAATTATTATGAGGTGTAGAAAACAAAGGTGAATGAAACCGGCTTCTGAGATCAAAAACTGCGTCAAGGATACAGGTAAATTAAGGACAAGGGGCCCTAGAGAAGACCTCTACTCAGAGTAAAAACTAGTATCGGGCTAAGTAACTGGTTCCTTTTAAGGTGTTACCCGTTATTTTGGAGTAATAGGGTGAAGTTAAGAACCAATGAAAAGCATCCTTGCCCCACCTTGAATGTTTGTATATAATACGCCGAGAAGTAAGAAAGGGGGTCTTATGATGATATCCGGCCTTGAGGATAGGTCTTATGTGGATTTTCGGAATGGAGGATAGGTCAGATGTTTTCTTCCGGCTTGGGGACTGAAGCCTTGGTCCTACATAGACCATGAAGATCCTGGCAGAGCTTTGAACCATGACGAGATGATCACAACTTAGCATATGCAGTGATGAAATCTACCAACCACACTGCTTCATAGACAATAGATAAGTTGTAATTCCCAACCATAATCTTAAAGTATTTCATGGCAAAATAATTCCATCTGAAATCATACCTTCACAGTTAATTATTAAATTCATTGAATCACGTATTTTGATCTTGTAAATATAATTTATATATATTCTTTATTAAACATAGAAATAAATTAAATTTTTTAGTAAAAATTATTTTAATTCTGCCATATATTTATATCATGATTCTACATACATGTAATGTATGTAATTAGAAAGCATGATAAACACAAACCAGCCTTTGAGAAAAGAAATACAATTAATTAATTCTGGACCAATCCATATATTATAGATCCAAATTTATTTTACTAATTTTTTATTATTAATTTTTATTAAACATGTATGGTTATTATCATCAATAATTATCCAGTGGCATCCCGAATAAATTAAACACCCCCAAACATAACATTACACGGCTCATTTTTGGTTTTCTTCTCCTTGTGTGATATTAATATATTTTATATTACTCCATGATCAGTTATATGCATCATTAATTTTTTACAAATATTAATGGAATGAATTTAAATACATTTTGAACTTTTCCGTCATCTGTAAGTGCTTCTGTCATTGTGTTCCTTATTTATCGAAGGGTATTGATGTTAACAAGCTTTAATAAGCTTTTTTTTTCAGAAGAAATAGCATCCTTCATTGCGACTGTTACTTTACATGCAGAGACAAAAAAAATTACTATTGCTATATTATTCCTTTGTAGTAAATATGGCATGCTTTATAATTTGTATACTATTTTATACACATAACTTGAGCCCAACTAAAGGCAAGAACAAAAGAGAAGACAATAAAGAATGTTGGTGAAAAGTGAAAAAAAAATAACAGGGATAAGAATGGAAGGATTTGGTTGGCAAGGATTAGAGAACAAGGCTTAAAAGTCTAAGTTATTGCTTACACTTTCAAGCAGTCACTTTCCTTTCTCACACCTCCGTCCTACATTTTTTGTCTTGTTTTTTTATTTCTTGGATATGAAAAGATCCTATCAGAAACTATATTTTTACTTTCACTTACCCATTTATGAAATATGTAAGGAAAAGTATTGCGATCGTGAAAAAAATTTAATGCGCCTTTTTAACGAAAATACAAGGTCCTCTAAGTCCAAGTAAAGTATGTTCGAAGTTGAAACTACCTATCAAAGGTACAATGGCAGTCAAAATGATATACTTGGATATTGATAGAATTTTTTTTTCTTCAATAACATAAAAGAACATAATTTTTTCATCAATTCCTTAACACATGGTTTTTGAGGGGTAAGAAAATGTATTTACGCGTAAGTAAATTAAATAAGATTTTGTTAAAGTTTTTTTTTTTTTACTCATTTCTTCAACTCACACCTGTCTGAAGTTCCGACAATCAGCGAGTGTGATGTCAAGATGTAGAAGATTGGTCTTGGAATAGGCCTGAGTTAAAGGAGTACCCAGCGGCATTCTTCCTATCTAGAATTTAACATTTTTATAGTTATTAGAGAAGATCCCTCATCCAGCTTCTTTTAAGCCTCCTTCGGTTGATATTGGGCATGTTAGTTGTGGTCATGTCTCGGATCAATGAGTTGGTATGTCCGTGTAAGTTATTATGAAATCTTTTGTAGTATGTTCGTTTATGGTCGTTAACTGTTGCAATCTGTAAGTATTTATGTAGAGTAATGTTATTGACGTACCAGGGAGCCTTGGTGATAGTCCTGAAAGTTTTAGATTGAAAAGTCTGTAATTTACATATGTGAGTCTTTTTGGCTGTCCCATATATCTGTGAAGTGTAGATCCAAATAGGCTTAAGTAGGTAAGTATATGTATAAGTTTTAATTTCGAATTTCTTGCAAGGCGTGAGTACAATAGTCGTATTCTTAGGTTTAGAGTTTTTGTATTGTTTTTGATATGTATGCCCCATGTCATTCTTCTGTCAAAGGTCAGTCCAAGATATCCAAGATAGTAGAACTTTGTCTGTCTGAGGAATTTGGATATTGACAAGGTAAATAGCAGGGCAAGTTTCACGTAGAAGGGAAAAAGTGATATGTAGTGATTTTTCTTAGGAAATTTTTGAATAAATAAATAGTTCAATTTACATTGCATTGTAAACAATAATTTATTATAATCAATTAACATCCTATTGATATGTTCTTATGTTATGTACTGTTTTATGTTGTTTTTTTAAGTGATAACTTCTTTAGGTGTGTTTTGCATTTTTTTTTTTTTTTTTTTTTTTTTGTGAAGAGTGAATTGCATTGATCCGTCATATTTCGTTCGACATTAACGCTCGGGTAAAGTCGGCTAGAGTCGACTAATTAAAATATTTTTACATATGGATTAAAATATCCAGTTGAATCAATATGACCAACTGGAGGAGAAAATATAAGAAATATATGTTTGTTTGCATATATGGTTAAAGTAATACTGACATGGTTTATTAACTTTTTTAAAAAAAACTTTCTGTTACATAAGTGGAGCAATAAATGAATGTTATGTGATGGTTGACATCAGATTTTTTTTCAAATTCAATACTTTAGGTTTTCCCATTTTTCCACATTACAGTAACCCTTTACGCATACCATCTTGCGACTTATGGTTTAATAAATGAGAGATTAAGGCTAAAAGTTTTATTTTTCAGGTTGGACCATACATAAGTTCGACAACTTTCATGAAAATAAGTATAAAATATAAAAGTATCATTTAAAAAAAATTATAATTTCGTGCAAGTAAACGACATATCAAGCAAAATATATATCGGTCGATGGCAATAATAAACATACAATTATAAATAGATCAAAATTTAGTATTTTTTTGGGGGGGGAGGTATATTTTACCGAAGTAACTAAATATCTTTAAGGAGCGTGATCTCGGTCAAACCAACTCGCTGAGCAACCTTTGACCAAGAAGTACTTTTCCTAAATAGCATTGGACAGAATACCCTTCATGGGTTGTAGTTGTACATCTATAGACACATGTATATAAAACTAAATACCTTTAAAACAATTTTAGCTAACTCCGTACAAAAAAAAAAAAATAGAAGATTGTATACTCTATAACCTTCCCGAGACTATAAAGGTAATATAGTTAACATTTGGTTCAATCGTTTTCTCCTTAAGTGTTAGTGTTACAAACGAATAACAAAAAAAAAAATGAAATATTGTACAAAAATAAAAAACTAATATAAATATGTTAAAAAAAAGATTTAAGGTATAGTACTATACCGATAGCATTAAAGAATTCAGCTTTTTCCATTTTGTCATTTTTTTTTTTGTTCGCTTTCTCCCTCTGAGTAATTTAATACATTATATTCCGGCAGCGTTTCTAAAATTAATTAATTTTTTTTTTTTTGAAGCTTGGAATTAAAACAGAGAAGGCAGTTAGCACACTTCTCAAATATATTAAACTTTAATGAGAAAGAAAATTAATAGTTGCTCTGTGGACTCGGAATGTTTAGCTTGTAATTAATGTTATGTAAAAAAAAAATATATATATATATATATATATATATATATATATATATATATATATATATATTTAACTTTGTGTGTGTGAAACATTCTTCATGTATTATATTCAATAGTTAATTAATAACTGAACTTTAATTTTGATTTTTAATCAATAAATATATATTTTAAGATAGATAAATAGAAAAATAAACTTTATTCTGGGACTAAGTTCCCTTAGAAAAACAATAATGAACAAATATAAAAGAAAAAACATATCTTGTTAAAAACTTCCATCCTCTTTATAATGCCGTGTTAGTGAAGCGTAAAGGGAAAAATAGTGTCGAAAACCAAATGATAACGAATTTTATGGAAGATATTGATTAAAATATCTGAGAAACTAAAAATCGGACTTACATACTGTAAGCGAGGGAAATTTTCAGCATTTCATCCTCTTTATAATGAGCTATTATTTATAATTTATATTTCATATTATTAATCTTGCCTTGTTTTTACTTCTATCGTATGGTCTAAAGCAGACACCTTATTTTGTTTTATTTTTCCAGTAAAGTTGTTTTAATATATTAATGTTTTGTACCTTAAATTTTTTGTAAATTCTTTTTAATTTATACTTTCACCTACCTATATATGAAATATATAGTAAAGGAAAGTATTGTGATCGTGAAAATTTTTGAATCTCAGTTTTTAACGGAAATAGACGTTTTGAGATCCCCTTAGTCCAAAAAGTGTTTGGGTGTATGTCTCTGTGTTTTTTAACAGTCTAGCACAAAAACAAAAACTTGTACGAAAGAGAAATTACATGTATAAGGTTTTTATATGCCTGGGATATTACAGAAAAATGTTCGTCAAAATCAGATAACCGGAAGTGGAACTTTATATTATGGATAAAACACATTTTTATGATTTTCTTGAAAACGGTTATAACGATTTTGATTAAATTCATTATATTAGTGTGTAATTAGGCAATTGTATTATTTAATATTTAAATGTATGTATTAGAGGGATATAAAAATTAAATTTGCATACATGCCGGTGCTTAAACAAATAAAAAGACCCACATTGAAATATAAATAAATATAGCGTCCTTCTTTATCACGCTTGTTGGACTAAAAATATTTCGTACAGCTTAATTATTTATTATAATCAAATAAATAATTGAAATACACAGTTGTAAAAAGAAAATAGATAGTGTCAAACAAAATAAATATAATACATTAACGGGCTATGGAAAGCATATGGTAATTATTTATGTTAAATATATAATATGCAGTTGTATCCTAGCGAAAGAGATGATAATTAAAAGAAAGTTTATTGGTACCAAAAGTGGTTAGAATTCGAGGATAGTTGTAAAACTAATCTTGATACTGCAAATATCGCTGATCTGCGCGGAAAAAATGGCTGTTGTTAGAAATAGGGTTGAGGACTTTGAGGAAAAACAAAATAATCTTCAAAAATGTTTTTATTTAAGTTTTTCTGTTTACGCAGGACTATGTTCAGTGGGAACTGTTACGCCATATTTTAATGATAGTTTTAATATTGTGACTATAGGGTCAATTTTTCGATGTAGGACAGAATTGCTCGATTTAAGCGTAAAACCATGGATGTTGGAGGCAACAATTGCTGTCCGGTATGTAACTCTCAAGAAAAATAGGATATCATTCACTTTTTGGGAATCTGTCATATGTACAGTGAGTTAAGAGAAAAATGTTTTGTGCAGGAGACCTGTTCTCCGGAAGAATTATTTGGTTTGTTAGAGGGTTCTAACTGGAAAGCCTTGAGCAATTATGTACAGCAGGCCACATTGCAAAGATCTCAATTGGTCAGATAGTAAACTATTGATGCAATATCGTGTTTATTTATTCTAACGTTTATTTTATTTTTATATTGCATTTTATAGTTATTATTATTGTTGTTGAATTTAAATTTCTTATGTTGTAGTGATGTATTAATGTTTGTTTTTGAAAACTCTATTTAAACAAATGAAACAGTGAAGAAGCAAATTGCTAGAATGGATGTATAAAAATATAGTAATACTGTAGATATATTATTACACATTTATTTTGGTTATAAATGTAATGAACATTTTTTATTGATTACACACAGACCTCGACAGACGGAATTTTCCATTGTCTATGTGTTTTTGCTTGTATATATATAACAATATCTTCATTCATAAGATACTGTTTTCATAAATGCTATGTTTGGTATTATTTAATATTTAATTGTGCAGCTATAATTATACCATACGATATAAATATTAAAATGGTTATAAATAAGGGTAATTGAACTAATAAAAATACTCACAATGAAATATAAATAAATATAGCGTCTATAATTTTTTACTTTCACTTTTCCTTTTTCTGAAAATACTTATTTCTGCTAAGAAGAGGATGGTAAGTGAAAGTTATGTTAATGTGCGCTCCGCAACAGATTTTTAATTATTATTTTTTTCTAATTCTCCCTCCTACATGTAGTTGAAGAGACCGAATCGTTGTTCTAATAAATAAATTAGGTTGGTAAGTGAAAGTTATGTGATGCTCATCTTACAAAATATTTGTTTACATGTGTGTGTATTGGATAAAATTGCTACTTGGAATTATTTGTATAAAATATGTTGGTCAGCAGAAGTAGATAGCAGACCAGGGAATTATTTATCGAGACTTAGAGGACTCCATTGCTCACTGTCAACCCCACTCAATGTCTGTTGCAGGATTGATGAAGCTCCGCGAACTGACCCGTCCTTCGAGGATCGAGGTGCACCTCCGACAGGCAGAACCCTCCACCTACCGCTCCGTCCTAGGGGAGGTCAAGAGCAAGGAAATCCGCAACCTCCTCGTCGACACCAAGCCGGAGAACATACCTGTCTTCTTGAAATGGGTAACGTATCCTTCAATATATATATATATATATATATATATATATATATATATATATATATATATATATATATATATATATTTTTTTTTTTTTATTTCCTATGTGTTAACCCCACACAAGGGGTTAACACATAGGAATGTCTTAAAGACTTACTACATAAATTACAATTGTCAACATAATTTTCTTTTCTATTTTTACATTATATGAATCTTTTGTTCAAATTTATATATATCTTAATAAACAAAAACATAAAGAATAAACACATAAAAATAAAACGAAAATAATAATAAATCGGAACCAAGGAAATCGGAACCATATTAAACACAGGAAGTCAATTCAACAAAGCCAATAAGAAATCACCCACGCTGCCCATCCTTGGTAAGTAAGTCGAAGTCGATAGATCTCATAAATTTAAGAAACTCTTTCTTGAATTCAGTAAATAACTTTTGTTCCGTCTCAGACCAATTTCCACTTTTGATAACTATGCTTTTTATTAAATCTCTGTCTGTCAAATCGTTTACATTCATATATTATATTATATTATCTTACTAAAATTTACGATGAAAATAAAGAAACTTTCTGATTATTCCCATTGTTTTCATGAAAACGAAAATATTAGTTCCAGAAACATTAAGTTTGTCACTGATAAATACACATCCAGTTAGAACTAAAAGCTTTGTTATTTTTTTTAAACAAGGGTACTTTTAAGTTAATGGATTGAAAATCATTTGATTTCTTTACACACTTTACATTTTTTTTAATGAACCTGAACTTAAATAATAAAACTTGGGTAACTGTAATACAGTTGAAGAATGATAAAAAAAATCACAAATAATTTATTACTTATTTTTAAACAGAACTTAGCTCAGTTTGTCCGACCAATAAACTTAATATTTTTTTTTAAATGAGAAATTCTATGTTTGTGTTTTTTGTATATCATGATGACCTGCTATCGACCTTTTGAATATATGTCAAGTTGAATATTAATTAAGTTGAGATTTATTAGGACAAATTTTGAGTTTCATCTCAAGTTATGTAAAGAAATGATCCTATCCATTCGCCTCAAAGTACCGGTGTTTTCTTCAAAACTTAATACAATTAACTGTTGCAAAGCTTTTATTTATTGCTTTTCTGTGATATGAGATGTATTATAATAAACATAATTGCCTAAAAATACATTTTACTTATAAATATATAAATAATTATTTTTTAAAATATTATTCACGTAAAGTGATTATGAAATTGTTTTTTTTCTCCCGAACCTATCCGTTTTCATCGCATAGGCATCGTATTGTATAATCTTGAATCTTTTAAGATATTGCTTTGTATTTCCATGCTCCGTAAGTACTTGCGTAAGTTTGTAGTCATTACTGTGAATACGTCTATAATTGTGAATTGAAATGTGTGGTATAAATCTGTGTAAGCTTGGTGACTTAGCTGAGGTCACCCATATGTGATCCCATCTTTTGATGAAATCCAACTTTAAATTCATCTTAATATACGATAAAGGAGCTTGATGATACGATGGCGGCAAATCGCTTTTAGCTGCTTCTTTTGCAAGGCAATCGGCTCGTTCATTGCCCTCAATCCCACAATGTGCTTTTAGAGTCACTAATTTCCCTACAGTTCTGATCATTAATAATTTGTATCTAATTTGGTCAGTCAAGTAATTATGAATGTCCAAATTATTAACGGAGTCGAGTAGAACTTTTTTGTCTGTATTTATAGTAACGTGTGTATTCGTTTGTAGAGGGTAGTTATATATGTATTCAGTCACCTTTAAAACAGAGAATTTTTCTGCCTGATTATTTGAGCAATATGATTCTTATTTATATTGATGTTCTATATTTTTCTACCATCAATACCAAGATTTCTACCATCTTGAGCTCTGAATAACTATGCACATCCAAGGTATATGTATACATATACATATACATATGCAAGGTGTCCCGTCAGTAGAGAGAAATATTCAAAGACATTTCTAGACATCAAGATCTACAAAAAAATTCATATAAACAATTGCCCTATTTCCAGCATAATAGTAGGAAATATAAGATTTGTTTTTTTTAAGCGAGTCACGTTGTTGAATAGGAAGCGATATCTTAAAAAAATATTTGATTTTAGTAACTAAACATTTCTCCATAGTAAACTAGACTAAATTTACATTTAAAAAAAAAGTAGAGTTTTTCCTTGTTAAAATTATTTAAAGAGGAATGTTGGGCGGGCAAATACAGCTAGGTCCCGTTAAAACAACAACCGACAGATTATTTGTGATTTTTTTTTTTTTTTATCACCCTTCAACTGTACTACAAATATCCCACTTTTAGAAAAAAATTTATATTTAATAAGCTTTAAGTCCATCTTATTTAAGTTCAGGTTTATTAAAAAAAAAATGAGATTGATATGAAGTTGAGTAAAGAAATTAAATGATTTTCTATCCAGTCACCTAAAATTACCCTTGTTTTCAGCAAAAATAACAAAGCTTTTTGTTCTAATTGGGTGTGTATTTATAAATGACAAACTTAATGTTTCTAGTCCTAATATTTACGTATATTACAGTAGATTTGTTTATTTTAAACCTAAATTTTAGTAAGTAACATTAAGTTTGTCACTGATAATACATATCAATTTCTGTGACGGAGATCTGAGAGAACAATTTCATAATCGCTTTACATGAAAAATATTAACTGTAAAAATATTAAAACAAAAACTGATAAATTATTTGTGATCTTTTTTTATAAATTTTAACTGTACTACATTTAACCCATTTTTACAAAAAACTTCTTAGTTTAATAAGCTGTGAGTTTGGATTAAGATAAGGTATATAAGGGTAAATTTTAAAATTCAGCTCAAGTTTTGTAAAAAAAATGATGATATTTTTTATCCTGTCAAAGTAAAATAAAATTAATTGTTGCAAATGTTTTATTTCTGATTTTTCCATGATCTGAGATGTATTATAATAAAACCAATTAATTGCCTGAACACATTTTTTTGCGCCTAAGTTCAGTTTTTAACGAAATCATAAATTATTTGTGATTTTTTTTTTATCAGTGTCCAGCTATACTACTATTATCCCACGTTTACCGAAACTTTTTCGTTTAATAGTCTTTAAGTCTGTATTAATTAAGTTGAGGTTTATTAGGGAAAAACTTAAGATTCACCTCAAGTCTTGTAAAAAAAAAAATTATGATATATTTATGTATAGTAGAGATATATATGTCTAGTAAAATTACCCCTGTTTTCAGCAAAAATTACAACAATTAATTGTTGCAAAGCTTTTATTTCTTGTTTTTCCATGATCTGAAATATATTTTAATAAAGCCAATTGCCTAAACAGATATTTTATGTATAAAAAATAATTTAAAAAAAAAATTTCAAATATTTTTTCCGGTAAATCGGTTATAAACTGTGTTTTTCACCTAGATATTTATTTTAAGCATTGATCAGTATTTGTAAGTGATAAACTTAATGTTCCTGATCCTAATATTAACGTTTTAATTAAAATAATTGAAGCAATCAGCAGTTTTTATTTCATTTTAAGCATAAATTTCAGGACTAGAAATTATTATTTTAACACTCACAAATACAAACCAATTCCTATAATAGAAATCTGGATTAAAAACACAGTTTATAACCAATTTATCTTTATAATAATGTTTGAGAAATTATTCTATTATAATACATCTCAAATCATGAAAAATCATAAATTAAAGATTTGCAACAATTAATTGTAGCAATTTTTTCTGAAAACCGAGATACTTTTATTTGACAGGATAAAAAATAACATCATTGTTTTACAAAACTTGAGCGGAATATCTAACCTTACCCTAATAAACCTCAACTTAATAAATACTTTATTAGCTTATTAAACGAAGAAGTTTTTGTAAAATTGGAGAAACTGTATAATAGTTGGATGATGATTAAAAAAAAAAATGGCAAATAATTTATGATTTTTTCTAAAAACAGAACTTAGCTTACTTTTGCCGCCTGAAATTCCTCTGTAAATGATTTTAACAATGATAAACTCTATGTTAATTTGAGGTAAAATCTTGTTTACAATGAAGCAATTGATAATTACTTTATAAATATTTCTTTATTAAATGTTTTCGATTCAATAAAAAACATGACTCACTTCAAAAACACAAACCTTGGATATGCCCAAACCACAAATCTATTCTGCTGAAAATTGGCCAATTGTTCATACGAACTTTTTTGTAGCTCTTGTTATCTGCTATCACTCTATACAAATTTCCCTCTGCTTAATGGATACTGTGTATAGGTAAGGGAAAGTTTTTTTTTTTTATTATTATTATTGAAATTTACAACTGTCTTAAGTGATAAATACAACAGGTAAATATGAAATAATTAACTTGAAGAGAAATTACCCATTAGGAGCACTCCAAAGTGAAAGTAAAAAATCCTATATATTATTTCTAAAATGTGTTATTTTATCGGTACGCAATAACTTCGTCAATTCTTCATCAAAACCAATGATTGACCATTTAGAAGATATTCTTCCCCTTTACATGCGAAAAATAGTCCTATCCCCCCGAAATTTCTTGAAAGAAAAGTTATGAAGGAAAAGAAACTTTATTTGCGAATAACTCAAAAAGTATGCATTCTTGTACCCATAATAATTAGAAAGATTACTAAATTACCTACAAAACAAAAAAAATCGTAAAAATTGGACAATTATTAACAAAGATACAGTCCAATTAGTTTTAGTATACTTAATAATGTTTTCTTGTTTAAAGATATTGCATTTAAGATTAGAATAGTCTACTACACTTTTTTTCATGGCTGATATGTTAACTTTATTATTTCCTAAAAGCATTTGTTAGTTCTTATATTTTATTTTTTTTAATAATTTAGAAAATACCATGATCGAGGCTTTATTTTGTCTTTATTACTTTTATTATCTTTCCAGTCTGAGTTTGAAAATAGGTCCTAGCAAAGCAATTTGTACAAATATTTTGGTCTATTATGTTAAATGGAATATT